AGAACTACCCAGAAAACACTTCTAGAAAAAATGAGCCGCTTGTTGAAATATAGAAAAAAGTTATGAGGCAGACTACTTTAACATTAAAGTAGTCTGTTTTTACAATTCTTAAATTTTACCATTCTTAAGGGGGGGCCACTGCGCATTGTTTATAAAGCTATATTTTCTGAACCGTTGCACTTGGAAGTCTGAAATTTCAAATTTAACTTATCTACATAATGTAGATAATGATATGTAAAAATCAGCAAATTCTGAGATGGTGCCCCACAGGCCATTGGTTGAAATTTAATGATTTGAACCATATATATATATATATATATATATATATATATATATATATATATATATATATATATATATATATATATATATATATATATATATATATATATATATATATATATATATGTATATATATATATATATATATATATATATATATATGTATATATATATATATATATATATATATATATATATATATATATATATATATACATATATATATATACATACATATATATATATATATATATATATATATATATATATATATATATATATATATATATATATATATATTATTATTGATATATATATATATATATATATATATATATATATATATATATATATATATATATATATATATATATATATATATATATATATATATCAATAGATACATGCAGGTATACCTTAAAAAATTAAAGAATTCAGAAAAATTAAAGACACTGAATTTCCCCTTCTGAAAATCCTCCCCACCCTCTAATAGACCTTGTGTTCATGTTTTTATATAATCAAATAGTCTAATCCATTTGATTGCCATTAAAACTAAAGTACAAACCAGAAAGAGTTGTATACTACGAGAATTTTATAGAATTCGCCTTTAATAAATTCAATTTTTTTTTTTTTTTAGGTAAGAAGTCCTTCCGGTCTTATCATAAAGCACCGCTGAAGAGGATTTAATAGGAAGTTAAGGCCTCCTTCCCAACCGGTATCTCAAAACTTGTCCAGATGTGGGTTTGAACCATGGATCTTATGTTTCTGAGGCAAGTGCACTACCACTGCACCACGGCTGCAATATATTTATATCTGCAAATCTGCATAAATCTAAACAGCATAAGTGTGAATTTTTTGTATGGGCGACGTAGTGGCAGAATAATATAAGTGTAAGGTGCAAGCAGGGCCTGATCTTCCACAAGGCATGTAAGGCCCGAGCCTAGCGCCCCCCATATTTTAAGGATTCCCTAATTTTCAGCTTTTAATAAATTTTTAACCCATTAGAACTTTTCTGACGTAACAGTAAAATTTAAAAATATTTATTTTATTTAAAAAATTTTTAGGTAAAAAAGATATAAAATGATTTCAAGATGATTTGCTTAGATTTAACCTTTCCGCTCCGAAGTACGCTTTTGGCGCTTTTCTCGCTAGATCCGAAGTACGCCTTTTGGCGTCTTTAAATACCTCTATGTCTTAGACAAAATCTCAAAAACATTATGTTGTTGCATTTCTGAATTAAAATTATAAACATATGGCCCACAACAGTCCGATAAACTTGTTTGACTCTTAGACCATTAAAACTGTTTTAATGGTCTCAGTTTTAATGGTCTAAGGTTTGACTGTTGTGGACCATATGCTCAAATGTTAACTTAAAAAAGCATAAAAATTATGACTTATAAATGTCGCCGAATAGCTGAATCAGAAATTCAGAACTTCATAAATGAGCTAGAAAACAGTGAAAATGAAGATTATGAAGATGATTAGTGGCATTAATGTCTATCAAAAGCGAAGTTACAAAAAGTCTAGATTTTGAAGAGATTCTGAATCAATTTATGTATGAAAAATCAAGAAAAAAAATGTATTAATTTGGATAAATGTAAGTTTTAACTGTCTAAATTTATTTCATACTTTCTTAAATGTTTCTTGTAATCACAGAAGTACTTAAAACTTTAGTTAAGTGAACTTACGTATAAATCTCTCTAACTTGAAAAAGGGGACATGTCCTGCAAAAATTCACCTAACATGTCCCCTTTTTCAAGTGAGGCTAACTTGTTTTAATAAAAAATAACATTACCATAAAAGATTAAATTCTAGTTCAAACTTTTGAAATGTATAAAAATATTAAATGAGCAATAAATGTAATTAAGCAGAATATATGAACCGCTAACTGTTAGCGATTCATATATTCTGCTTAATTATATTTATTGCTTATTTAATATTTTTATACATTTCAAAAGTTTGAACTAGAATTTAATTTTCCATGGTAATGTTATTTTTTTATTAAAACAAATTATTGCTACAAGCATGAACAATAATAAACTACAAGCATGAACAATAATAAAACATTCCAAAGAACAATTTGTTATTTCAACGATTAGATTTGTTGTTTAAATGTATAAGTGCTTTTTGAATATTCTTATTATATATCATCCTAATTTCAAAACAATGTTTGATTTTTTCATAGAAAAAGTACTTTTATAATATTATTTTATAGTTACTAAACTACTTTTGAACCAAAGTTGTCGAACAAAGTAACTAAACTACTTTTAAACCAAAGTTGTCGAGCAAAGTAGTATGTTTTGATGTTATTAGTCAAAAAAAAAGTGTGAAGTTATTTTAAAAAGTTTTTTCTTTTAAAACATTTTTGGTAAAGCAAAATGTTAAAAAAAAAAGAAAACATCATTGCCTACCCAGTAAGCACAAAGACGTTTAAAAAACGTTTTAAAGATGTCTTTAAGGAGGTCTAAAAGGCGCACTTGTAGACGTCTAGATCATAAGGCTAAAAGACGTCTAAATGAAGACGTCTTTATAAAAACGCGTTTTAGACGTATTAAAAGAAAAAACTTTTTAAAATAACTTCACACTTTTTTTTTGACTAATAACATCAAAACATACTACTTTGCTCGACAACTTTGGTTTAAAAGTAGTTTAGTTAGACGTTTTTTTCAAGGTAAATTTAAGTACATGACGTAACATTTTCGCGTAGTATGTGGTATATATTCATTGTATTTATTACATCATATATTGTTATAATTTCGTATACTCAAAATATACATAGGAACCAGCAATCAAAATAATATTGCTGTAATCACCACCAATGGTTGATGCATCAAAGATGAAAATAATAAATAACAATAACAAATATATATCAAAACAGTATTTAATACATTTATCACTTACCTTTAAGCCCAGAACATTTTGCGCTTTAGACAAGCGGAAAAGTTCTTTGAGCATGCGCAAACAGTTTTTTTAAACCCGTTCTCCAATCAGAACTTTTTGCGCATGATCAAAGAACTTTTTCGCTCCTCCAAAGCGCAAAAAGTTTTGAATGGAGAACGGGCTTTAGTGACAATAAAATTTAACATACGTATTGCTAGCTAATTTTTGACCGCATACTTGACTTATTATATGGCTTGTGGGTGTATAAAAACTAAAAGTACTGATATTTAACTTATATATTATTCTTGCCATTTTCACTTATTATCATGATCAGTCAACTATCTATTAAAAAAGCAAAATAATTAATAAAAAAAAGATATATTATTATTATAGCAATTATTTTAGTGATTCCTGTGACAACAATTTTAGCAATTGTGTAAAAAAGTAATTTAATTTAAAGTAATTTACACTTAAAACTTGAACAAATTATTGAAAATAATAAAAACTATGTTTTTACTTTGAATATACGACATCTACTTAACGCGTAATGACAAAGCCGTCAAAAAGAAGTCATAATGACACATTTATAAACAGGACTCAGAAAAGACGTCTTTTAGCTTTGATCTAGACGTCTTTTAATGCGTATTTTAGACTATTTATTACGCGTCTTTTAAACGTATTTTTAAACTTTAAAAAGACGCATTTTAAACGTCATGTTAAAATCGCATTTATTAAAGACGTCTAGAAGATGTCTTAAAAAAAGATATCTTCTAGACGTTTTTTTAACGCTTAAATAGACGCCTTTTAAACGTCATTTTAAAAACGCCTTTATAAAAGACGTCTAGAAGATGTCTTACAAATTGACGTCTTCTAGACGTCATTTTATCTTTAAAAAAGACGCCTTTTAAACGTTATTTTAAAAACGCATTCATAAAAGACGTCTAAAAGATGTCTCTAAAACGTCTATAAAAATGCGTCTTTACCTAGACTAGTGTTAGACGTCTATAAGTGTCTAAAATGTGTCTTGTGCTTACTGGGTAATGACCTTACATCAATTTTAAACTCCCTTGTATAATAAACAGCATGAAAAAGTCTATTTAAAAAAAAAGCTATATTTATGCATTGCACTGAGAAATCCAAGTAGATACAAAAGATTAATTTTGCTCGTGTAAGTTAATGCAAATAGCAGCAGAATGATAATAACTACAAGGTATCAATTAATTTCCCTACTGCCATATAAAACATTGTTTAGGACACATTAATGATTCTACGGTCAGAAGATTTGTTATTGCCTTGATGATGAAACGCAAAATCTCAACCGGCATTGAACTTAGCTTTCAACCAGATAATATTGGAAAAATGTTTTTAATACTTTTTTGGTAACATCTTTGCGTATTTTTTAACTGTAATACGGTTAGATCTAAGATTTTAAAAGAATTAAGCAGAACTTTGCTTTAAATTGTGTTATTAAAAAAAAGGTAAACCGGGCGCAAATTTGCACTGATTATTTTTAAATTATAACTATTCTCAGTATTTTATATACTTTCTACTCGTTCAATATAAAAAATGTTAAACTCTTTTGGTTTTATGTAACTTTTAAAGATGATTTTTAGTTTATGTAATTTATTTAAATTATTGTGTCACTTTTTTATTGTTTTATATTCTATTGTGTAACTCTTGCTTGAAATCATTGTGTCAAATTCAAATTATTGTGTCATTCTTTCTTTAAATGACGTTTTGGTTAATTTTTTTCTAGGATTGACGTTTAAAAATTTTTTTAAAAAATCTTTCATATATCTTTAACAGTTTTTCAATGGTTTTTCGGGAAAATATTTTAAACAGGTTGTTTTCTGTATAAACAACTGCGAGGCAATTTTACAAAACCATGACCAAATAGTTCTTAAGTTGATAAATAATATTATATACATTATCATGTTTTTTCATTTTTAACTAATTCCTTCCACAAAATTATGGGCGAATTGAAAGGATATTAATATAATAACATGAATGGATATGTTAAAAAATAAGTTGAACTGTTTCGAAGGATTTTTAAAGCATTTTGTAAAACAGAACAATTAGTAAGTAACTTATATTTTCCAAATATTTCATTAAAATTTCATATTTAAAAATTGTTGTTTTTGTTCTCATTAAAAATATATTATTCATTTTTTTTATTTTAATCACCTTCGCTATTTTTATTATTTTTATTATTTAACTTTGCTTTTATTAGTCGAAAGATTAAATCGATCAGCAAAAGTGAACTTTGCCCCTTCCCTGAAAAAAATCTGGGACGTCTATGCATAAAATATACTGCTATAAAATACAGCAACTATTAAAACTATTTTTAAACTATATTTGTTGAGCAGTATTTAAAACGTATGTATCTATTTGTTTGGTAAACTCTTACTTCTTTTTGCAGTTTATTTAGATGTTCATAAATGTCTTTTAAGGAAAAGAAAATATAATAAGTATTTCAGGGATTGCATCTGCTGGTTCAGGGATTGCGACAGCTAATTCAAGGATTGCGACAGTTATTTCATGGATTGTGACAGCTTACTTTGATATTTGAATAGCTTTTAGATATAAAGCAAACTTTAAACTTGGTTTATGTTTATGAAAAATAAAGATGCTTTGCAAATAATTTTAGTTGAAATCTGGGAATGAAAATATTCTAAAACTTATGGACTCCCTCCACCCCACCTAAATGTTAGGCCATAGTTAGTGAGTTTTATGTTATCATTATTTTAAACTAAATTTTTATTTATTAATTGATTTTTAGTGTCATCTAACTATGTTTTAGCGTTTGAAAACATTATAACTATGTAAAGTTTAAAACTTATTTAGAAAGTCAGCTTTATATCTGAATGTTACAAAGTTATCTCAAGCATCAAAAAAAGTTGCCACCTTCTTTGTGATAATAACATCTAATTTGCTATTGAAACTGTTAAAGATGGGGAAAAAACATTAATGGTGTCCAAAATATTTTGAATATCAAAATTTATCTTGAAATTTAATGCAATCTGAACAAGCATGAGTAAATAGGTTTTTTACAAGACCGTGGGTTTTTGCCAACAGTAATATTGTTGAGATATAATGTTTATTTATATGCAAAAATTTTCATTATTGTCAATTACTTTAAAAATCTTGCTACTAGCAAAAAAAATATTCAACTTTGCATGACTGGTTTCTGACATTCAAGCAAGTACATTTGTTAAATTTATGTGGTCAATCAATCCATTCGTCTTTATTGCTAGTTAAAACTCTTAGTAAAGAACGAGTTAAGAAATCTTTTATAGATAGCTATAAAAGTAAAGAACGAGGTAAGAAATCTTTTATAGAGGTAACATTCAATTCCGACATGAAAAAATTATTACATTTATAATGAACATCAGAAAACTATTGTTTAAAGCATTTTAATTATTGCTAACAAAGATCAACAAAAAATGTCACTTTACAAAAAACATAGACTTATAAAAACTAGAGTAAACGTATTGCGCATGCTTACTGTGGTTTTTATATGTGTCCATACACTTACCAATACCAATTGTAGACAAAAAAGCTGTACCTTCTCCCTAACACTGTGAAGAAACATAAATATAAAAAAGGTATGTATTCAGAAACAAGTGCAAACAAACTTTTTTTACTAACCCTCACATCACAAACACTAAAAAAACTGAAATGCTTATGGAAAGGAAAAAGCAAATAGACTAAAGAAGAGATATAATCTCATATCAGCTGTCTTGTATGAGATTGAATTTACTTTTTAATTGGATGCAGCTAATTAAATTTAAAAAAATATAGAAGAAGACTGGTTTTAATTATCTGTGTGTCATATGTGTGCTGAACTTATTGGGAGCTTAATAGTGTACAATTCGTTATTGGATAAAACAACATTTTTTACACTTAGACCCCAATCTACCATACTTTTCAAATATTTTCTTAACTTTATTTTTTTATTAGTTGGTTAATGTTTAATTTGATTTTAAAATTTATTTTTTACATTGCACTAAAATGTTTATGATATTTTTTTAGATTATGAGTTAGAGAGAAACATTAGAAATATACAGATAAAGTTTCAAAACTGCTATGATGCTTGTTGCACTTAAATATACTAATATATACCCTAATTAATTCAAATATGCTTGTTGCATATTTGAATTAATTAGGGTAAACTGACCTATTTCTGGCCACGTCCTAATTCTGGCCGAATTTGAAAAGCACTAAAATCTTTGATAAGAAGTGGGATTGCTCTGTTATAAAATAAAAAAATAATATTTAGACTTTGTAATTTCTAAAATATTTAGTTTAAAATATTGAACACTTTCCGATGCTTCAAAAACGTACTTAAATTATTTGAAAATTTTTTATCTCCGTAAATTTTTAATCTCAGTAAATTTTTTACGGGGATTAAAAATTCAATATTTCTAAAGTTTTTATTGTACATTCAAGTTATAAAACTTTTGTCGCTCGAATTGCAAGTATTATTGGAAAATAATGTTGTTAAAACTGTATACGTATTTAAGTGTATTTTGTAAATTATTCAATAATTCTTTGAGTTGGTGAACTTTTTTATACAATCAGAATTAAGTTCAAACGACTAGAAATAGGTCTTTTAGCAAGCATCTAAAAAATTGATGACGAAACACATGCTAACTTTATTCTTTTAAAAAAACTTTATATAATTATATTAATCGTTAAGTAATCTATTTAAATCTGATTTTGTTTGTCTATATTAAGGTGAGTTTCGACTCACCCGTTTTTTTCATGGGAACAGGAAAGGGAAGGGAAAAATTATCACGTGGGCATGCGTATTTTAAGTTTTAATTTGTCTGAAGTAAAACTACAAATGCTCACGTGATTATTTTTCTACGTTCCTGTAGAAAAACGGATGAGTGGAAACTCACCTTTACGCGTTGCGAATTTATTTTTTTAAATAATAAATGCGAAGTGGCCAGAAATAGGTAAGTTTACCCTATATACGAAGGAAATTTTATACGTTTGATTAGTGTTACATTAAAAGCTAATAAAAAATATGATCAAACAAGCGGTTTAACATTTTTTCACAGAAATTAATTATTGACAATCATTTCAAAACTTTAAAATGCCCTCCTTCCATTTAAGCACAGCTAAGACGCTAATCTTTTCTACCCTTGATAAATATCTTACGTAAATGGAAATTTTTTTTTTTACATGCACAAGCTGCAACAAAAAAACATGGATATAACTAATTTTTATGCACCAAAATCATAATCCACAATCTAATGACTATAGAAATAAGATTACGAATACAGACTATACTGTCTAAAAATGTAAATTTATTGTAAGACGTAGGTCTTAGAGAAACTTAAAAGAATACACAATTTACGCCATTCATATATAGCGTCAAATATTTATTACATTAGACGCAAAACTAAGTAATATACGCATATTCTAGATTATAAATTATATTAAATATGTACATTATACTCAATATACGCATGTTGTCGTACTTTTTACGCAGGTTCTAGTTTACATGTTATAGATTTATAATTTATACAGATTATAGATTATAATCTGTGTACATCCTATAGATATGTACAACTATGTTTTTTGAATTTTACATGAAAATAAGCCTCAACCGAAAATTTAACATTGATACTTCTTGAAGTGAAAGTTCATGACTGAGAAGAAATAGGATTGCATAAAATTATTTGACCATAAAAAAAATGTAAAATCGAAAATTTTCAATTGTTTTTGTTATTACATTTTTAAATTATGTTTTTTGAAGAAATTTTTTATAGATTGCGAAATAATTACGAACATTCCTATTGGGTTTTACTGTGACCGAGGTAAAAAAGATTTTTGTCCACCAAGTTTAAAACTTTTGATGTAGTTTTTTAGTTGGGTTCTTAATTATAATCTTAAATACTTAGGCTTGACGGAAGGATGAAAATACAAGAAATAAATATTTATGTTCATTAAAAATAAAATTTTCAGAAACTAAATCAAACTAAATATTAAAGTGAAATGACGCTATAATGATAAGGTATATAAGATCCACATTATATGAGTCATATAAAGTGACTCATAGTGACCTCATATGAATCATATGATTTGTACAACAACAACTCATAATTCATTTGAGATGAAAATGAGTCATATAAAATAATAGGTAACTCTGAATCATTTTAGATGACAATCTAAGATGATTCAGAATTCATGATCATCTTAGATGATTTTTTACCAACTATTGATTTTTTAAAATTACCACCCTATTGATTTTTTAAAATTACCACCCTATTGATTTTTTAAAACTACAGTAAACTTACAAATGATATAAAATTATCATCGATAAGTTTTAACTTGTTACTCCGTATTTTAGTTATATATGTTTCTAAGATAATAGGTTTTTTTACTAGGTATTTTTTTTTTTATACATGTTTATTTTACCACTACAAAGTATTTACAAGTAACCAATCACAGATTGGTAGTAAAGGTATACAAATATAAATATCATAAACATAAAGTTGGAAATATACGAATTAAATAACAATATAGTTGCATACAACTCCGAGACATGATTAAAATAAATACCAATTACAACAATATAATAACGTGTACGTAAAAATAATCCGAGAAACATATCTCCACATTCTTCCAATTAAAACAAAAAATACAATAAATAAAAATAAACCTGCTGATTTTTTGGAGGAATGTTTAGATGTTTGACTATAAGTTTAATTACCACATTTCAAACTAATGTTTGTAAAATTATGATAAAAACAAAAGTTGTGTAAGGCTGATAAAAAGTATTACTTGTTTGTAGTTAAAGGAAGCTTGCAGAAGACTTAAGTCGGTCTTGCCATTGAGTACTCTTTTCTGGACGTGTAATGCACATAAAAAATCAGTTGCATACGTGATATATATGTATGTTGTACATATATACTTTGTTATTAATATTATTATTTTTTATTATCGATTTATATTAAAAGTTAAGTTACATTTATTATTTTTTATTTAAATTTAAAAAAATTCCTTATAGTTGTTTAATTTGATTATTGTAGGTTTTAGCTTTATTTTCAGAGAGTGCTCGTTGTTTAAGTTTAATAGTGATTCGTTTCTGGATACTAATTTGCTAAATAAATAGGGACCACGACATGTAATTGAGAATTTTGAGAGTCTAGTTATTTCAAACGTATCTTAAAGTTGCCTGTTGCTCTTGCATTGTATTTATTTATATTGTTTTTAAAAAAGTGTGCTGTAAAATGTTCTGGAACCGGATTTAGTTTATACTTAAACACAAAAGGTATATTTTGAAAAATATTTATTTGAAATATATTTAGTACGTTCATTTGTTCTAGTAAGGGTTGAGCATGAGTTAATTTGTTTTTGTTGTA